TGTGAAAACATCAGCTGCATGAGGTGGTGTAAGCAAACAAGCTGTCAATTTAACAAATGAAGTAACATCTGCTAAAAGTCCTATTGGCAGAGTAAATTCTAGAGTTTGTTTCTCTTTGTGCCAGGAGCATCAGAATCATTTCCCTGTACATTAAGGAGTAAGTTCTCCATTAGGAGGGAAGATAAACTGCAGCCAGATGGCTCTCCTTGCCCTCCACTGGGTTCAACGATAGACTCATTCAGGAAACCTCTCACTTGTGAGAGATACCGTAGCCATTTCAAAAAATAAAACAAGTATAACTCTTCTGATGACACAGCAGAACCGTTTTAACTTTTGAAGCAAGGCTATCTCTATAAAATTTTACTCTTGGTGGATACTTTGTTTTTTTAAACTCTGAAAGGACTATTGTATTTTTCTTGTTGCTAAGTTGCATGAATGTTCTCCATCCCTTGTCCTTCAAATCCCAAGACTCTTTAATTTATTTTTGGTGCAACTTCAAAAAATGCTTTGATTTCTTTTCTTCTTTTAAAATATCTGCCATGGAGAATTAGAGAAAAGATCCTTTTACGGTAGATTTTATTTTCTCAGATTATTGATCTAATATCACAACATTTTTTTTTCAGCTTAAACTTCTTTTGAAGTAATTCTATATGGCAGACAATAAAAATAGTTTAATGGTAACATTCTAAAACTTTCTAATGAAAACCTGGAATGATGACCGTACCTCCTCACACCATTACGTATTGTGACTATTTGAATATTAAATGGTATCCATATAAGTTTGATAATCCATATCTACTCTAAAATGTTCATTTTAATAATTGGTTATCAGTCATGTCCAATATGTTTAAACTATTCTATTCCCACTACTGTGTGAGTGGGTACGGTATTGGGCAAAGGTAATTTAGTATGTCATTAACAAAACCTGACTAAATATTTATAGCTACTGCATTGTTTTGTGCCTTTGTACTATGAGCTACCATTCCAACCTAATAGCATTGCAAATATAGCAATTATGGATTAATTAGGTGATAAATTCAAATTTATTTTTCCCTTGAGTGAAATATTTCCTGTTTTTCATAGTAAACTATCTCATTTGGTTACTGTAAAGCCTTAATAAGTGACAGAAGTCCAAAGCATGTGCTCTATTTTCTTTTGGATAGATTAAGATGACACCTACTCCAAGGCAAAATAATTAAATTTGGTTTTCAAAATGAATAGCATAAATCAATGGTTTAGTTATATATAAATGCAAATATTTAATTACATGGATTTAACATTTTTAAAGTGCTAGTTTGCTATGGATTAAATGTTTTATGAATTTTCTCATGTTTAAAATTGCAATTAATTAAAACAGATTTTTTCTTGCACGTTTCATCAACATGAGTGATATAAAATACTTAACTAGGAAATCTGCAGAATATAAAGGGAAAAATGGCCTCCTATTGGGAGTATCTAAACTGTAAAGATAGTCAGAAGCATTACCTATTTAATGATAGTGCATGACAGTTACAACAAAGCTTGTGTCATCAGCAAATTATTTATTTTGCAAACAGGTTTCTGGGGTGACTAAAGGGTTATGGTACTAAATAAAGGTCATAATTTTTGTGATACTAGAACATAGGCCATATCTATTTTCTGGAACACAGAGTTGACGTAAAGTGAATCTGATTAAAAATTACTACAGCCCTAGCCAGTTGGGCTCAGTGGATAGAGTGTCAGCCTGAGGACCAAAGGGTCATGGGTTTGATTCTGGTCAAGGGCATGTATCTCGGTTGCAGGATCCTCTTGGCCTAGGCCCTGGTCAGGAGGCAACCAATCCATGTGTTTCTCTCACATTGCTATTTCTCTCTGTCTTTCCCTCTCTCTCCCACGCTCTCTCAAACCAATGAAAAAATATCCTTGGGTGAGGATTTAAACAAAAAAATTACTAGGGACAATCTAGCTGCCTTTTCTTCTGTGGACTACATTTCCATTTGTAGGGCTTCTGGCTTTCTTCCTTTCTGCTCTCAGAACAGATACTTCTTACAGTTTCTAGGACTCCCGCTCTTTATTGTTACTGCCTCCATCATTGTTCTTTTCCTTCCTGGTCCACCTTGCCAGAGATTCCCTTTCACTGGAATCTGACCTACGGAATCAGTCTGCTAAGCATGAGCATTTATTCCTTGTTTTTGATGCTCTACATTTTTCAGTTTGTTGTGTGTCTGCTATCTTAGCCAATCCTATGGTCAATAACAAATACTGTGGTCACACCCTTCTCAAATTTAAATCCCAGGATCCAGGCTAATATTTCCAGGCTTTAAATCTCTCAACTTCTCAAAGCTGCAGTTTTTTAAGTATCCTCTGGAAAAAGGAAAAAAAATGTTTCAATGAGAGGTCGTGATCATTAATGTAAAAATGCCTACAAAGAGCTTAGACAGGCACTCTTTTTGATGTTTCTGTGTTCTTCAAGTTTCAGAAGTGTTTAATCACCGTGCCAGATAAGAAAAATGTAAGATTCCATTGCAATTAACTTTCTCTTTCATTTTGATAGCTTGTGCATTGTAGTTAAGGGTTGCCAAAATATAGTGACTCAAATGATTTGAATTTTGAGTGTTAATAGCCAACAATTGGCTGATTTTCAAGTGCTCTATTTAGGGTTTCTTCTTTTATGATAATAAGCCTCTTTTATAAATAAGAATAAGATTTTGGTAATTGCCATACTGTATTTGTATTTATTTTTAGCAGTTTCTAAGGTGACTTTTCTACCTAACCGTTTGATCAGCTCATATTAATAGACAAAGAAAGTAAATAATGAGTTTTGATGGTCAGAACACTAATAAGATTTCATTATCTATTTCTCATTTAATAATCACAACTATTTTATGAAGTTGGCACCGTTACTATACCCATTGCCATATAAGAAAATGGAGTTTACAATGATTAGGTTATTTGTCCAAGGTTGGACATTTCCACTAGAAAGTGATGGTTAGCTTTGAATTCATTTTCCCTCAAATGTTGTTTTAACTACTAGGCAATGTTGGGAGAAATTATCCACTCCCACAAAACTGGAGATGGGGAAATATATCCTTGTTTGGGCAGACAAGAATTACATCAGATTCTTAGAAGATATTTTTATTTATTTTTTCAAATTAACACTGTGAGTATGATTTTCTAAGGTCCTATTACGATTTCAAAATATATAAAAAGTTTTAAATTTCTTTAATACATTTCATTTAATAACATGGAAAATGGTAAGTTTTCAAAAACAATCAGGTAATTATTGTTTACTGCTAATTTTCCTTTACTTAGTTTTCATTTTTTTTGCACAATTGAGAGAGAGGGTGATGTGTATATCCACATATTTATCAATTTCATATTTCCGATAAGTTTAAAATGAAATATTTTTTAAAAAGCGATGGCATCTGGAAAGGAAAGAGAATGAACATGGTGCCCTGGGTTGTAGTATTGGCTTGGGCTCCCTACAGTGTTATGAGCTTGGCCAGTACTAATTCTACCAGTTCTCAGTGATTATAAGACACTGCTGTAAAAAAACATGAATCCTAGAATTCATTACTTCTTTAGAACTGCACATACATATTCAATAAACTTTTACTGTAATATTCACTTAATGGAATTAAAGTCTATTAGTTTCATTTTAGGGGTGTCAATTGCCACCCACAAACAAGCATATTTTAATCTGAGCTACTTTATGTACAGAAAATATATTACTTTCATAAAAATAAACAACCACGAATACATTTCACTGAGACAAACAGCACATAATTTGTTATTCATTATCAAATTTATGAGCTGATTGTATCTTGCAAAAATAAGAAGCTGAAATTTTCCTGAAAAACTATTACATTTTAATTTAAAAATTTTATACTTAATTTTCTAATTTTAATCTTTTTCCTCTAAATTGTATGGACAGAATTGAATTTGGTCATCTTTCAAAGAAGAGACATATCATTATTAGTATGATTCAAAATAGTAGACTTGGGAGAGGTTTAGGGAAGAGGGGATCAATAGGGGAAAAAGGGAAGCCACTGTAATACCTCCAATAATAAGATCAACTAAAAAAATATATTACTATGTTTCAGACATTTTAATTTTTCTTTTACAAAATTATAATGTTATTTGGGATCATGAAAACAGTTGCTAAAAATTGGACAATTCATGAGGCACAAGAAGAAATTAAATAAAGAAATTCAAAACTGCAATTTTACAAAACTGTGAGCAATATAAAAAAAATTGACTCAGGGACAGTACTAAAAAATGTGTTATCACACTAATGAAGGATAACTATGATGCATGAAATGGCATGTTATGATAAAGTGATTTTATGAGCATGTGAGATGTCATGCAGCAAGGTATATACTAGGTTTTATTATAGTAATAGAAGAAATGTAAAACATTTTATTTAAATTATTGCTTAGGTTATCTTTAGAAAGTGGCAGGACACTTAGAAAAACCTATTCAACTAGAAATTATGAAGGTAATTTTTCTATAAGGCTAAGCAGTTGTCAGAGACATAGAAATGTGTGTCAGTCCTAAAATAAAATAAAATAGACATGCAACGTAAATGGAAAACATAAATAAAAGTTATGTATAATTAAAGGTGAACATTAGTAGAAAGTATAAAAATAAAGACTATTGAAAGATTGCTTATAACAATCCTTTTTATAAGGAGAGTAGAAATATATTTTTCAATTTTACTTAAAGTAAATTTCAATAATTTGTTAATAATTATTTTGTTACATGTTTTTAAAATGTGAATAATATTCAATATATATTTGGACTTGATATTTCCAATAATATTATTTCCTCTTTAAATAATTATTCTATAAGTTGTCTACTTTATGCAACTGAATTTCTCCTTAAAAATCTTGGCCTGTATACGCATACTGAAATTTTACAATATTCTTATCATTTTACAATCTCAATCAACCAGTACCTCAAAGGTCAAGAGGTAAAGGTGACATTGAAGATGTCTTACCCGTCATAGAGGTTACAAGAGTCTATGCAGGTCCTGCCCCTGCTGAAGCGACGGCAGGACAGGCACTGGTCTGGCCCAGGTCCCCAACAGCCATCGCTTGAGCACAGATGGTTACACACCATTCCTTCAGCAGCTGAAAAAAACACCAAAATCAAGAGGAAATAAGCAGAAGCTTGTGTCACAACTTACAATTTTAATATAAATCTTCCAAAGTATAGCTATTTCTGAAGGAGTTTGTTTGGAAAAGATCTATGGCAGACCACTTTGGTGGCCTGTCTAGTCACCATTATTCACACTCTCCCCAACTTCTTCCATATTGCAGAGCTTAGTCACTGTGGTTGTATAACAACATTGTGTTTTTAATCAAAATGAAATGTCAGTTGTCTATATCATAACTCTAGGGAGAAGGTGTGATAGAAATTAACCTTCTAGGAAAGGTAAGGAAAAAACCACATCTTTCTCAAGCCAACATTTTGTTCTACAATTACACCAATCTTTTGCCTTCAATTCCATATGACAGTTTCATGAAGATAACAAATGATACTTGTTATAAAACAAAAATAATATTAAAGGAGCAAATGAGCATGGCTGGTGTTGCTCAATGGTTGAGTGTTGACCCATGAACCAGGAGGTCACAGTTCAATTCCTGGTCAGGGCACATGCCAATTCCTGGTCAGGGCACATGCCTGGATTGCAGGAGGTAGCTGATCAATGATTTTCTCTCAGTATCGATATTTGTCTCTCTCCCTCTCCCTTTCTCTCTGAAATCAACAACAACAACAAATATATATATATATATTTTAAAAAGAGCAAATGAAAGAAAAAAGGAATAGAAATAAGATACAAGTTTAAAGGTGTCTGCTGTAGTCTCAGTGTTTGGGTTTGCATTTCCCAAATGATTAAAGATGTTGAAACTCTTTTAATGTGCTTATTTGATATCCATATATCTTGTTTGGTGAAGTTTAGGAATCTTATGTCCATTTTATATTGGAATGGTTATTTTCTTACTATGGATATTGAGAGTTTGTTATTAAATTCTGTAAATATTTTCTCTCAAGCCCTAGCCTTGACTTTTCCTGCTTTAATACTGTCCTTCAGAAAGAACTTTTAACTTTGGTAAATCCAATTTATCAATTTGTTCTTTTGTGAATTGTGCTCTGGGTATCATATCTAAGAAGTCTTTGTCTAACAGGAAGTAATAAAGATTTGCTCTGATGTTTTCTTTTAGAATCTTTATGAGTTTTGATGTTACCTTTATGTATACCAGCGGTTCTCAACCTGTGGGTCGTGATCCCTTTGGTGGTCGAACGACCCTTTCACAGGGGTCACCTAAGACCATCCTGCATATCAGATATTTACATTATGATTCATAACAGTAGCAACATTACAGTTATGAAGTAGCAACGAAAATAATTTTATGGTTGCGTCACAACATGAGGAGCTGTATTTAAAGGGCCAGAAGGTTGAGAACCACTGAACGATCCATTTTGAGTTATGGTTGTGTGTATGGTATTGTATTAGTCAGGGTTCTAAGAGAAACAACATGATTCTAAAATACTGAATCAGCTTTGTATCCCTGGAATAAACCCCATTTGATTATGCTGTATATCAATTTTACATACTGTTGAGTGCTATTTGCTACTACTTTTTCAAGGATTTTTGCTTCCATATTCTTAAGAGATACAATGGTTCATACTTTACATTTTTTCAGGGGCGTGGGGCACTTTTTGTTCATATATGGGTGCTAATCTTCAACTCTATCACGCAAAGTAGGAATGCTTATTCACTTGACGAATGGGCAGAGGTTCAGAGGGGCTAAACTGCTCAAGGCCACACGTGTCAGATTAGGGGTTGAAACCCAATCCTACCTGGGCTCTTCACTGCCCAGTGGGGATGAAAGCCCTGTTCCCTTCTCTGCCTTCTCTGACACCACCTAGTGGGGAGTTTGGGCATTTCTTTGCAGCCTGGCGAAAGTGGGAAGCCTGCACTCCTACTCTTTAGATGCTGAGGTGAAGGTGGGGCTGCAGATTTTTTCTGTGATGTTTGTCTGGAGCTGAAAAGTTATTGCCTAAAAGTTTTTTGTCTTGCTCCTCTGCACCGTTCCAGGCCCTTTGGAAGAGAAAACAGACTTTTGTTGGGGGCTTTTTTGGTCTGCACCTGTTCATGTTTCTGAGTTGCCAATGTCTACACCTCCAGATCTGGGATATATGAGACAACAATAAAATCTAGGGAACTCACATCTGTGTGCTTCTTGGATTTCAAGGTACCAAACCTGTCTTCCTTCTTCTGCCTTCCAAAAATTTTATGTTTCTTTTATATATATAATACTCATTGTTTTTAGTTGTAGTCAGCAAAAGGACTGGAGAAAAGTATATCTACCTCATCTTCCCAGGAGCAGAAATGTAGTATATCTCTGTAAGTGACTGCAATCAATTTTGAAGTTATACTTTACTGCTTCATGCAAACTCTAAGGACCTGAAAATAGGATACTTCCATTTCTCCATTCCTAACCTTTGAGCTATTGTCATACATTTTACTTTTCCAAATGCTATTCACTGCACATTCACAATTTTACACATTAGATTGTCTTTGGACATGATTTAAATAATAATATAATTTTATATATGTATCCATGCAGTGCTCTTAATCCCATGTATAGAATCATATATTCATCTGGCATTGTTTCCTCCTGACTAACAACCTTGCTTTACTATTTCTAGGAGGGTGGTTCTCCTCTCTGTGCTGCTCTCTTCTCTCCTCCACTGTCTGCAGACTTGAGCCTCCCTGGGCTATCAGTGCGGCCTCCTCAACTCAAGGAGTCTTTGGGATTCTACCTGGGTCTCTCCAGACTGTGCTATGGCTCAAAAATTCTCTCAAGGTAGTTAGCCAGGGCAAACACAAGGCTCGCCTCATTCGTTTCTTCTCTCTGCTTCATTATCTGATATGCACTCCCTTGCAAACTGTAATTTCATATATTTTGTCCATCTTTTGGTTGTTTCATTGAGGAACAGTATATATAATCCCTTTTATTCCATCCTGATAGAAGTAGACATCTGATATTTATTTCTAAAAATCCAAAATAAGATTACTTGCTGTTTCTTGCTTTTTGCATATAGACACAATTTTATATAGAATTTCTCCAAAATGCCCATAGCTTCTAAACATCCATAAACTTTATTGAACATTATGGTTCCTTCTACTCTATTTTACCATATTTTAATTTTTAACATTATTATAAATAACATAAAGGTGACTTTAAAAAATAACCTGAAAGAACAGAGATCAAATAGAGTGTTTTCCTGTGTATGTAGGATTGTCCCTCTTCTCAAATATATTTTCCTTTTTTAGGTAACTCATCAGTTTGCAGACTTTGCTTAATTGTGGCACTCTCCATTTTTAAAGATGTATTAAATTTAAATAACATATATTATGATTATTTTTCTCTTCTTATGTGGAGACACTTCTTTTCAAAAGTTGAATGATTTGTTGTTCTACTTGGGAAATTCTAACAGTTTATCCCCTATATTGATTTTAAACTAATTGCAAGAGTTCTTTCCTTCTGACTCATTCAGTTCTCTCACCGTGCAAAAGAAATGTCAGTAGAAATGGAATCTTAATATAGTTCTCATATCACTGATTCCCTTGGAGTATAAGTGACTTCCCACAGATTTGTGAAGATGTAAGAAGTAAGAAAGTTCAATCGAGCTGATGGAATATAAATGTATAAGAACAAAATCTATATAATAGCTTAAGAGTTAAAAAGGAGCAAAGATAAATGATATTAATGGATATAAAGTTATAATACTCATTTTTTATAAACATTCAGCAATTTTAAGGTTATTTATGAACTATTTCATAGTCTGAAACATATAAGAATTTATATATAATTATCATATATACTTGCTTATGGAATAAACATGATTATCAGAGGAACCCTTGAAGAGGGGGAAAAAAACCACCCATAAAAATGCAACTTGTAAAGACAAGTAGAATATATTCAAAATCATGTTGCTCAGTGTTATGAATCTCTGGCTCTTCATATTAATCACCTTCATATTGGTATAGAAAACATAATCAATGCCTCACGTTCTTTGTTTACCTACTTGTCTAAGGCCATAAAATACATTTTAAGATTCTGCCTTCAGGCTGTTGATAAAGGTATCAGTACCTCTTTGTTATTGCCCATTTCCTGATAATCCATCAACTCCCTCATCTACTTATTTCTGCTTATTTATTATTTTTGGGGGGAAATGGACAAATGACTATTTTTGAAAGGAGGTAGGTTAGTATAATATTGGGTTTTGGAACCTACAAATAGTCAACTTAATGTGAAGCCTGTTTATTTTTCATGTTCTTCTTTTAATTTATCTATATTTTGTAACACTTTTGGGAATAACCAAGTATTCCTTTGATAATAAGAACAACAATATAGAGACTTATTACAAAACAAAACAGAAAAAAACACTATTTTTTTTAGTAGTTTGAAAACCTCTCACTCTTGTCCCTTCACCCTCCCTCTTCCAAAGCTGATAGGACTCTATAACAAGTGGAATTGTTTTGTCATATGGTAGTAATTTAAAACTTTTTGAGGATCCTCCATACTGTTTTCCATAGTTGCTGTACCAAAGTACACCCCTTTTCCCCGCATCTCACCAGCACTTTTCTCTTCTCTTTTGAAAATAGCCATTCTAACAAGTGTTAAGTGATATCTCACTGTGGTTTCAATTTGAATTTCCCTGGTGATTGGTGATGTTGAGCACATTTTCATACATTTGTTAATCATTTATTTGTCTTCTTTGGAGAAATGTCCATTCAAGTCCTCTGCCCATTTTTATTCAGATTTGTTTGTTTGTTTGTTTTTTGTTTTGTTTTGTTTTTGGTTATTGAGTTGTCTGAGTTCTTTATATACTTTGGATATCAACACCTTATCAGATACATAATTTGCAAATACTTTATCCCAATCTGTAGGTTCCCTATTCACTTTGTTGACTGCTCTTTTTGCTTTGCAAAATGTTTTAGTTTGATATAGTTCCACTTGTTTATTTTTGCTTTGTTGCTTCTGTTTTTGGGATTGTATCCATAAAATCATTGCCAAGACCAATGTCAAGAGGCTTACCTCCTATGTTTTATTTTAGGAGTATTATGGTTTATGTCTTACATTTAAGTCCTTAATCCATTTTGAGTTAATTTTTCCAGCTTTCAGAGGCCACTTTGGCATTCCTCTGCTTGTAGATACATCATTCCAACCTCTGTTTCCATGGTCCCATCACCGTCTCCTTTATTAAAATCAAATATCCCTTTTTCTCCTTCCTATAAGGTCACAAGTGATTACATTTAGGGCCCACCCAGATAGTCCAGATTAATTTTCCAATCTTAAAATACACAGCTTGATTACATATGCAAAGTCCCTTTGCCATATAAAGTAGCATTCACAGATACTGAGGAGTAGGATGTGCTCATCCTTGGAGTGGGGATTATAAAATTCTGTTGCAATAAGCACTTTATGTAGACATATATAAGTGGGAAGGTCATTATGGGTCTTTGGAAAATGTTGGAATAGGTTAAAGCCATAAAATTTAGGAAAAGGTAGGAGTGGAAGAATAAGACATACCCATTCACCATACTGAATAGGTGAAGCAGGTGTTACCAAAAGTTTGTTCACTCTTAAGTGCTCTAGGTCCTATATCTCTGACTTGAGTGGGACCTGGGGAGAAAATTCTGGTAGAGGGATCTATGACAGGCAGCTGTGACAGCAGTGATAAAATATTGAAAAGTCCTTGAATATTCTTAGAACACTGAGCACATTATAAAGTACTTCTCAGAAGGCACATTAACTTTCAAAAAGTAAAATAAGTTCATAAGTGTGTTGCTGAAGTTCTGAAGTTAATAAAATATAATAGTAAAATATATATTGTACTATAATTAGTCAATGTGTAAATAAGCATTAAATATCCCCTTTATTGCCTTGAATGTGTTAGATTAGTAAAAGGATAAAAGAGAACACTATTGATAGAATGCTTTTTTGGTCCATTCTTTCTTTTTGTCTCCCAAAACTGTTCTTAAATATACAGTGTTAAGTCGCCCAACTGAAAATTTCCTACAATAGGTCCTTTTTGAGAGAACAAATCCTCAAAAGATGAAATGAATTACCAGGACAACGTGTTTTTAAAATATATTTCTGACTACAGAATAAAAAGAATAATGAGGGGTGTTATAAAATACAATAGAGTTTCTAAATGGATTTTCCTCAGACACCTTTTTCAGAAAGATCTGGTATTAAAAATGCAGAACCCTGGGTGCTCCCGATCTATATTAGTTTTCACTGTTATACCACTGTCTGTATTAGTTTATCAGGTCTGGTATAACAAAATGCCACAAAATGATAGCCTAAAATGACAGAAATTTATTCTATCACAATCTTATCACAGTTGTATCACAATTCATTCTATCCCAGTTCTGCTTCAAAATCAAGGTGTTGGCTGGCTGGATCTTTCCTGGGGGCATTCCTAGTTTCTGGTGGTTGCTGGCGTTCCTTGGTTTTCCTGACGTATGGCTGCGTAACTCCATTCTTTGACCCTGTCTTCATTGGTTGTCTTCCCGTTATGTGTGTATGTCTTTAACTGATGTTCTCTTCTGTGTGCCTGTCTGTCTCTGTCTCTCTTCTCCTATTCTCACAAGTTATAGTGGATTAAGGGCCCATTCTAATCTAGTATAAGCTCATCTACATTTTAATTACATCTACAAAGAACCTCTCTCTACATAAGATCACATTCATGGTGCCAGGAGTTAAAACTTCAACACACACACACACACACACACACACACACACACATTAATCCTCACCCGAGGATATTTTTCCATTGATTTTTAGAGAGAGTGGAAGCAAGAGAGAAAGACAGAAAGAACTATTGATGTGAGAGAAACACATCGATTGGCTCCCTCCTGCATGAGCCCTGATCAGGACCCAGGCAGGGGAGGAGGTACATGCCCTTGACCAGAATCTAACCCGGGACCCTTTGGTCCTCAGGCTGACACTCTATCCACTGAGCCAAACTGGCTAGGGTTCAACACATTTGTGTGTGTGTGTGTGTGTGTGTGTGTGTGTGTGTGTGTGTGTGTTGGGGGTTGGCGACATAATACATACCACAATACTATCCAAACAACAATCATTGAAAATTGGAGACCAGACTTAAAAGTTTTTGCTTTAAAATATCTCAAATACTGATCTACTGGCAAGTTATTAAAATGTTGCCCTTTGTAATAAAAACTGAAGCCTGCAGGAATCCTGGCTGTTACTGCTGAGAGGCCCTCCATTCTTTCAGAGTTTCCAGGTTACAAATGGGAGGGATGTCATTTCTAAATTTGTAACTGCTTATTAACCTTTTGATAAGAACACAGAGACCATTTTGCAGCATTGTAATTAAACATTATGCTGTTTCAAATACAGTAAGAAAATCTTATTTGAGTTTTTTTTTTTTACAAAGAACAGTGTATTAATGTATTACATTGGTAATAAAAAAATCTTAAAAGTACAGTTAAGATTTTCTATCTTCTGGTTACTTAGAGGAATAGTGACTTTATTATATCCTAAGTTATGCACTTTATGATTCATACTGAGCTATGGTTTACCAAAAGGTGTGGCAAATGCAGACGGTTCAGTTATTAGTAATTAACTATAGTTTTACAATTCCTTTTTACTAATTGCATGTTAAGTGAGGTAGATTTTTCTACTATCAAACTTGAGGAATATCAAAATCAGAGATAAATATAGAACTGTATATTCCTTTGATAATCTTTGTGAAAAAAGTATATTCTACATCAGCAAATACGTGTATACTGAACCAGTACACTAAATTCATATTGTGTAGATTTTTTATAAATCACTAAGTATGTTACTTAACAAAGCCAATCTTAAAATGTTTAAATTACAAGAGAAAAGGAAAAACATTTTTGAGGAATCAAGCATATACCTATTCATTGTTTAAGCTCTTAGGAGATCATTTTAAAATCCCTTAATATCTAGGCTCCTATTCATTACTCTTATTCCTTCCATGTCTACCACTGGTTGAGTGGATGTGGGATAAAAAGATTAAGAATTAGAAGAAAGAAAAGCAAACTTTCTGTCAAGAATCAGAAATGTATAAAACTAAGGATATAATCTAGGCTAAATTAAAGGACACATCTCATCCAATGTAAACATACATATTTTGGTATATAATAAAATTTTGTACTTCTTGAGTCTATGTGGAATAGAAGAATGTGTAAGAACTTAAGTTCACTCACAATAGGAATCTCATGTTACAATAGATCTCTTTTCTCTGGAAAATATTTTTCAGGATCCAAAACAGCTAAAATGTGAGTTCCTCACAAATTATAGTTTACAGTTTATGAAAATTGGTAACCTGAGCTGCCTTAAACCCTTTATAAAACAAGGTGGAGTATTAGTAAATAAATTATTTTACTGACTACTTTACTTAGTAAGCTTAAATTATATTTGCTTTCTTAAGAGTTTATATTTTCTTAAAAATGTCCTATATTATCAATTCACATATATCAAAAATAAATTTAAACATATGTGTTTATACCCTTGTAATTGTTCCAATGGATTAAATAAATAAGAAGGCATCCTGATAGCAAAATATTTCTTAGGGGATGTGACTTTTTAACAAGACTAATTCATCATAACCACAATTAGAATACGTTTTTTATGAATAAATAATTTAAATTCTAAGTATTTTATTTGATATTTATCATAAGCAAGTCAGACAAATGGAACTCTTAGGATGTAAAAGATAGTAGTACTCAGTAGAAAATCAGGAAAGTATAACACAGAAATGGTCTAGTTATGTACCCATGAAAACATCATCAACTTCTGTATAACAAAGAAATGATGGAGTGGATCAATAAACATCAAAATAAGTGAGAAAAAAGATAGTGAACAAGAAATGCACTTATGAAATGAACTTTTTTCTTGAATAGCATTTCACACTTTTCAGAAGAAAACATCTTCATTTTTTCCACCACTCCCAAATGGGAAATACTCTGTTATCCTATGTTATCAAATTCACTGAAAGTGAACAGAAAATTCAATGGGGTGAATTTCCACAAACCGATTGGATCCAAAGAATCACCCAGATGTTTATTAAACATTTAGGTTTCAAGTCCCACGTACACCTATTGAAGTTAAATCTCCACAGGTGGATGCTTAAGATTTGCACATACATAATCTATATATATAAAAGCATAATATGCAAATCAACTGGACGGCAGAACGAACAGTCGGCTATGACACACACTGACCACTGACCCCAATGGGTAACTGGGAACTGGGGGTGGGTGGCAGTGGACGCGGGTGGTGTCAGGACCCTGATTGCCCCGCCTGTTGCCCCACACACAGAGGGCACAGAGGGCGACCCTCAGCTGCGGCGGCGGGGAGGGAGGGGGGAGGAGGATGGGGTCGGCTGCCAGCAGCCTGGAGGATCAGCTTTGATTACAGGCCAGGCCTAGGGACCCTACCCGTGCACAAATTTCATGTGCCAGGCCTCTAGTATACTATAAAACAAGTCACTTATTCTGGTTATTCTATACCAACCATTCTTAAGGGTTGAGGAAAAGAAGTCTAGTATTCTGACCCACTGTAATTTTAACTGTTTGATCAAATATAGAATGGGAGAAAATGTTTAAAGCTTCTATTGTTTTAAAAATAAATATTTTTATTGACTTTAAAGAGGAAGAGAGAGAGGCAGAAACATCAGTGATGAGAGAGAATCATTGATTGGCTACCTCCTGCATGCTCCCCACTAGGGATGAGAGAGAATCATTGATCGGCTACCTCCTGCATGCTCCCCAACTCAGCATGTGCCCTGACCGGGAATCATATTGTGACCTCCTGTTTCGTAGGTTGATGCTCAACCACTGAACAACACTGGCTGGGCTAAAACTTCTATGTTTTAATGTCCGAGTAATGTACTTACTACAGTTTTCAGCCTTCCTATTGTCTCGAATCACTATTCTTTGGTTGATGGTGCTGAAGAGCGTCGTCCAGTTGATGGTGTGATAGTAGCACAGGTTGCTGTTGTCAGTAATATAGATGTTTCCTGCACTGATTTCCTTCAGGGACTGGAACTGCAGGGAAGTGATGCCTTGTTGCTTGAGGATAAGCAAGGAGAGGCCACTAAAGAGAGGGGAGAGGGAACATGGAACGATAATAAATATTTTCTGGCCAGGACATTCATTTCTAAAGTAAAATATCAGGTGTCACATCTTACTCCAAAAGAAGATAAACAGACCACAGAGAGAGAGACTGAGTCAATAAATCTGTGCTCGGAATATTAATCTTTACATGTTATATAGTGGAGGCTTTAACAGTAATACCCAAAAGAAACATGTTCACTTTTAGAAGTATGAATATTAATGATATATCTGTCTTTGTGCACTTATTTACCACTGACGTATCTGCTCACTGCCTTTTCTCGTTCCCTCACATTTTCAGTTCCTCAAGAATGAAATCCTGTGTTAAGACTAAATAATTAGATAAATGTATGTGGAATGACTTGCGTATTACCCTAAGTAAGATATTAATTGTATTCTATTTAATAGATTCAGAATGTTTTCCAACGATAAATATTGAAGATAATATCTTTGATATTAGGCTTTAATTTATTTAGGAACAAAAGAATAATTGTAATAGCTGAAGAATGTATAAGTAAAGGTAGGAGATATAAATATTTACAGAGATGAATGAAATTAAATTTCAATTTTACAAAATATTAAGAAGGCTTGGACAACTGGGGAAAGAATCTCTAAATGTTAAGTAACAACTACACGGTAGAAACAATCATGTCAAGGAAATTGTTTTTATTTCAAAATAGTCCATTTTGTAATTAAGTTCCTTTTGCATTCTCTGAAGAATAACTGTGTTTCCCACATTTCAACTAATGGACATGATTTTACATTTTGGAGATCTAAACTGTCCCCTTTTATTTTACTTCTAAATCTAAAAATAGTTTGCTGACATATATATCAGCAAAATATGCACATTGTGTGTGTGTACTCAACTGAGCTATAATTCATTTTCTCAAATCCTGGCTCCCATTATAAATCCTTTGATTTGTGGATTATAATATGAGTATAATGATGCCTTGATATACTTATAATATTCAGTAGATAGTAAAATTTGTTGCATATAACACTTGACTAAGTTATATCTCTGAACTCTCCTTTTATATTAATACTTCCTCATTGACCTTTTAAAACCTCTTATAAATATACCTGTTTTAATAGCAAAATTCAATGAATTTTCTGTGAAATGCCATTATATAATATTTGATGACAATATTGATTTCAGGCAGCATTTAGATTTAAGCAATAAACATTAAATTAAAATATCCTTATGTAAATCAGCTTTTAACTCTTCATAAACAATAGTTTCATAAAGATAAAAATCTGAAATAAAATAAAAGCAGTGGCTTAGTAAATATTAACTCTACTTTTATTATATGAATAAAACTATTGACATTAGAACAGCGTCCTTTTGAGCCTTGATCATTCTGTTTATTACAACTAGCACTGCACTCAGGGAGGTGGACTAATTCGTGAAACATCAGCTCTATGATGCTTGGTTCAAATGAAAGCACCAGAGGCAAAACAAGAACTTCCCGTATGGCACTTGTATCCCCTACATCTGAGCCATTTCTAAGTCATCCAACTCTCTCTTTTAATTATAATAAATATGATAAAAAGAATTAATTTTATGCTTCATATCATGCATTCCATACCTGCAAAACATTACTATTACTTTAGGTGGTTGGAAATTCCAGCTGTGTATTCTGTATACTTTAAGCACAACTGGGCTATTTTTTTTGTTGTTGAACTCACATTGGAATTAAAAGAAGAAACCCAATATTTCTAGAATCAGTAAATTCATGAGGCTAATAGTTTTGATATAATATACACATGATGCTACTCTTGAAATCTGGGAGACCTGCATCTTTGAACATATAAACCTACCTGTAGAGTACTCTTCCACCAATGGTCACCAGGTTAGAAAAAACACTGAAGTCAGTCATGTTTGGGGGCCATGACTGTATGTTCAAGAAACCTATAAAAGAAGAGGACAGTAAAAAAATTCATTACATCATTGTCTGAGCAATAGTGTTTAACACTGATTATTCTTGAAATATGATAAAAATGTGTTGAAAGATAAGAAAAGGAAAGTGAATATTCCTACTTTTGAACCATTCTATCTCATATTTCTTCTTCCAAATGGAGTGTCTTAGCCAAAGTTTCATGGCTCTAATACTCCAAAGAATATCAAAGGAGGGGGACAAAGAGGGAGGAATGGGGCACATCTGTAATACTGTCAGTAACAATAATGATAATAATAACAATGAGCACCAAAAATCTATATTTCTCAGACATATGGAATCATATAATTGTAGATGTTAATCTACATAAATCTTAATTTAATGTATTCTTCTAAAAGCAAAAATATTTAGACTAACTAAAGAGAAAAATTCAATTTCAATTTCTCTGAAATCCTTTACCACTGTATCTATACACTTACTAGTAGACCTCAGTTGCCCATCTTGCATTCTAAGACATAGACGTATATACTTACCCCTCCTCATTTGACTTTATACTCTTTAATAACAAATCATGTTTAATTCATGTTTATAAACCCATATCATCTACTATAGCAGCACCAGATGTATTACATGCTCTATAAACATGTGCTAAATGAATGATATGCATTACCCACACTAAACAGTACTTCTTGTGAAAAGGTAAAAAAAATGCTTTCAAAGATCAATTGGCAATTGCAAAACAGCAACATCAAAATTTCAAGGATATTTTACTCTTTAAATTCCATGGGCTTTCAAAATGTGCATACATGCTAAGGAGTAGAGACTTGAATTTACTTTGAAATTGAGTTTCTGGTTCCAATATTATATAATATTTTCAAGAAATTGTTAAAATTCACATGGTTACTAACACAATTGCACTTGAAAAAATTACCTGTTATCTCTCGAACTGTCCGAAATACATTCAGTTTCTCTGGGTCTATAGCTTCAATCGCATTGTAAGGGTCCCTAGAAAACCCAGGAGAGAAGCAGTCAGATTCAAAATTAAATAAAGGAATAAAAATATAAAAATGTGACATTATTTTATTCAAGTTGAATTGTCATTATCAAGAGGAAGGGTAACAATGTTCAGATTTTTCTGCCTTGGATATGGAGGAAAATTTAAAGTTGCTTTGAGGACCACTTTGATGAGAGAGAATATGAGTTTATCAAAGGCAAGTCTAGATGTAAAGAAATGATTCGGTTTGATTATACGGAAGAAACCTCCAAACACAGCAAATCCATTTATTAACCATGCTTTATACTTTGCTTTAAATGTTTATTCTTAACTGGGAAAATAAAACCTGCAAATAAATGATGTTATAGTAAGGACATTGCCTTCCAGGCTCCTCGAAGCACTCAAAACTGTGAATAACACTTGTAATTTCTTACGAAGCATAAAAACAAACACATGAAGTCACCTTTTTTGCTGTATCTCCACATTTACCTATTAGTGAGTTTTCATAATATTTATAACATTATATAAAAGTTACTCTTCATATGAATTATTTAGAGCAATTTTGTTCCTAACTGATATTTATATTCATTTTTATAACAGACCTATTTGCTTCCATCTATATAAATCATACTAACATTTAAAAACACAATTTACAACAAATTTCATAATATTCAAAAGTTGTTATAAATTTGAAGATCTAATGCATACACATATTTTTGTAAAAAAATGTTTTTGATATATATGCAGAGAGAGATACCCTGTCATTTCAAAAATGAACATAAATATCTTTTAAAATTAAATGTTTAATAGAGTTTTTTTCAGAGGTTTTCAACTTAAGAACATTTTTTGGTATAATATACTGATCACATGAAATAATTGCACACTTGAAAATTAAGCCAAACGTAAACATAATAATACCAAACATTTCTCAGTAATTCAAGGAATATTTTCAATGTTTAATGAATACATAGTCTTTTTGAAAATGTTTGATTACTTTAAAATTATTCTGTACTATCCTGAGCAAGTAGAGACCCAATATTAATATATACTCTTCAGAGAAAAATTGAATTCTCTTCATTGGCCACTTCTCCAAGAGAGATCAAACCTTCTAAGAACAATGAACTTAGGCTTTTTTAGAAGCATATTCACCTGTAGCAATCAATTTAGTTTTATTCTTGCTGTGAACATCTGCCAATTTTTTGCACCTTATACATATATAAAAACAATCTTTATTTGGTTTTTTTATATTATTTCTTTTTTATTTTTAATTAAATATATTGGGGTGACATTGGTTAATAAAATTATATAGGTGCAAATGTACAATTCTATGTTATATCACCTGTATATTGCACTGTATTGCCCACCACCCAAAGTCAGATCTTCTTCTGTCACCATATATTTGACCCCCTTGACCTTTTACTACTCCCACCACTTCTCTTCCCTCTGGTAACCAATATTTAGGAACCTTCTTTTGTGTCCAGAGAATAAACACTAGGATATGGTAGTCCACTGGATGTGATTTAACAGGGTTATCAATCCAGGTGCTCCATAGTCCCCTGAAAAATTGGCATATGGCCTGTTTGGGGGGAAATTGAGTGCGAATCTACTGGCATTTTTTTAAATCTTAGAGCCTCTTATAGACTCTATTAGTTCCAGAAACCATGATATATGGAACTACCTTTAGTGTAGCTCTCTCAACTTGATTCATTGGCATATTCTTCTACACTGTGAACATCCCATATTGTCAAAGGGAAAAAAAATTGCTTGATTAAATGACTGTTTCAAACTAAGAAGTAAGGTCCATTTACTGTACAACTAGTTTAAATGGAGAGTTACAGAGAGCTTGGAGAAACACTATAAATGAGTTTCCCTATAATTTACACATAAACAATGAATATTTTCCTCAATGTGACATGAAGAGCCTTCAAAAGTTTCAAGTCTAAATTAAATGTTCTGGCAAACTTGCTCTATTTATAACTGAGGATGCATAGTGAATGACTATGGTTTGTATGAATAGGAAGCAATAATAAAAAATAAATTCACTATGTTGTAAAATTCTTGTTGTTATCCTATTTTATGGGCAAAGACTTTTGTATGCAGAATAAATGTCAACACTACAGTAGCAGAATGAACTTTCAACATTTGATTTTTGATGAAAAGCAGTGTCTAGAACAGCTCTGGTCATACAATAAAATATTCTGACTTTATTGAGAAACATTCAAAACCCAGGGCAGCACACAGTAATGGGGTCACTTCAGTCCTACAGTAAGAACATGTCCAGGTTGTGGGGAATTAAGTGAATTCTGGACTGTTCACATGAAGCCAATGGACCATAGAAATTTTATATACTTATTTTAGAGATTCAGACTCTCATAAAATAAGTTGACAGAATCCCACTTACCAAACTCAGAGTACCTGTAGGGAGTTTCATTCTACAGACACTTGAAATCCATAGAACTATAAAATCAAGAAATTTACTAGCTAAATTCAGAACTGTGAATAAGAACATTACATGCACTCTGTCACCATTGTTGGTGATCCAATATAAAGCTCAGGATAAAGACAGAGCAACATATTTTCACAATCGCATCACAATCGATTTCTTCATTCAACCAGTTATCACATGTTCATTGTCTTTCAACGTTGCAGTCTGTCATCTGAATACTTGCTTGCCAGTGTCTCATTGTGACACAGCATGGACATGTTTATCTGGTGAGCATTTTGTTGCTTCAAGCACATGCACATAAACCATGTCAAACATGACAAGATTGAAGGGGGATTATTCCCATGGATAACCCTAAACACTGCGTTTTGCCTGTGGTTCCCATTCTAAATAAGGAAACAAGAGTACCTAGTCTATCTCTGGCAATGGCACTATTGTTCTAGAGACTAAACATGTTCTCTTATTTCGTCTTTAAATAGATCCAGAGACATAGAAGCATGGAACAGACTGTCTAATCTCAGAGAAAAGGTAGAGGTGGGTGGGAAACGATTAACCAAAGAATTTATATGCATATATGTATAACCCGTGGACATGGACAATAGAATGGTGAAAGCCTGGGGTGGGGGGATGGGTGTGGCCTAGAAGGGGTCAATGGGGAAGAAAAGGGGTTATTTGTAATACTTTCAACAATAAAGATAAATTTAAAAAAATAAATAAATTACAACTGAAGAATTAAAATCACTTAAATATATATATTAGTATATGGAAGCTTTCTTATCTATGACTTTTATTTCAGAATTGAAAAGGAAGTATTAAAATGCTGAATATATAAGAGATGGATATTGGTCTGATTGCGATGAAAACCACTTGTGTAATGAAATCAATGTGTCTGTTTTAAAATTTTTCCCCATACTGATGGACTTCAGGCCAATCATTTATTATATCCAGGTGAAATCAGACACTATGCATCAAGTGGCTTATGTCTTATTTCTCAGAAGATACTGTTAACATGATATGCTCTGTCATTCATGGTGATATTTGGTATTCAGTATAGTTAAAATATGAATATGTTGTTTTACTATGTGTCACATATGCATTAAATTATATGGAAGCACCTAATATCAACACAGGTCTTCTACCCAATGGCCACGGAGGCAATGATAGCAATGAAAAATGGATACAAAGAGCCAGTGGGGGCTATAGTGAATTTGATTGAACGTGTCCCATCTTAAAATGGCTAGTACTGCCTAGCTTGAAGAGAGTGTTGCTATGTAAAAATGTGGGCTCAGAATAGCCAAGTACATACATTTTTAAAAAGAACTTAGAAATCTTGACCTTTAAAGAAAATACTACATGGGCCAATATATCATACCTGGGGTAGAAAGTATATACATATTATTAGAGTATCTGGCATAGACCCATATTCAAAGCTACATTCTAAAGGGAAAAAATGCTTATGTAATAAGACCTAGAGTTATTTATTTAAATAGAAAAAAATGAACTATTCTGTTCTATTTCTCTTGCTGTTTCTATTAGGACATATTTATTCTAAATGTGTTAAATTATGTTCCTTCTAGAAATGATGTGATACATGTTTAGAGTAAGATTTTGAACTGAAATATGGGAGTGATACTTTTTATCTGTAGCTTGTAGCACTAATATTTAGGGTTTAGATAGTAATGTAGACAAATAGATAAAATATAAAGTAAAAATATTGACATTTTTATCGCAATTGAAAGACTACAAACTGGGTTGTTTTCCTAGTTAAAACCAGCAGGTGGTTCTGTAATGAAGGAGCCTAGAAAATGTTACGATTTTTACTGCTAAAATGAAATTCATTTTATAAATTTCTCAGAGCAGTACTAACTTTTCAGTCTTAGAAAAAAAGAAAAATACACGTAAAGACAAAGAGACGTTCTGAAAGCTCAGGACAATTTTAATTTTCTGATTTGATTTTTGTGAGACACTTTTTGTAAAAAGAAATATTAATTTACATTGCTTTAAACTATTTATTTAAGAAATTTGAATGGAATTCCCCACTTTACCCATTGATATTGTTTCCCTAATCATATCTGAAGATATGCCAAGCTTGCTGAAATCTAAGGATGTAACGAGAATGTCCTGCAAATACATCTTAGCTTGTATATAAATTTACATTTTTCAATCTAACCAGTCACTAATCTCATAATCTGATGCATCCCAAACGCTGGTTTACTCTCACTGCTGGCGAAGCCTGCCGTCCGATTTTGTTGGAGAAGAGCATTAACACAGGTAGGACTCTTCTGGGTCAAAAGATCAAACAGACAAAGCAAAAGACTCTTAAGCTTAGTCTACACTTACAAAATAATTTTCTGCAAACATTTAATACTAACCCGTGAATACCAGTGACAAGGAAGATCAAATTCCCATTGATCTTGGTGCAGTTTATGAACTTGTCGATGTTGCTGGAATCCACAGTCTGTGCGGACAGCAGTGATCCCGTGCCGATGCCGTCACACGCTGGAGAAATAGGAGTCACAGTCAGGAAATTTGAGAAACCCTTTTCAGTCAATAAATCATTGCCTTTTTATTATAAAATAACAGCATGTTTTCATTATAAAATAAAAATATTTACCATAAGAAATACATTGCTTTCTAATAAATAAAATAATAATCGATTCATGCAACATTTACTACTTGGCCCGCTTATAAATATTATCCTGGTATTATCGTCTAGTGACCATGACTTATAAGAATTATATTTTATATCAAGACCCCGTATATACGCATAACAGATACAAAACTAAAACAAAACTTTCCACAATAAGTACTTCCTCTTACTATATAAAATCACCTCATTTCTAATCCATCCTAAAATATTTCTTTAAAATACTTTGTAAATACTGGTCACTTAAATAATTTCATAGCCTAATGATAGTCTACAATCTGCAGTTTTAAAAACACTGGTCCAATTAAGAATACATATTAAACAGAGTATGAATGATGTGAGTTGAGTTAAATTAAGTATTACCTGTGCCTTCTGAAGGCTGTACTTAAAAAAAAAAAAGAAAGAAAGAAGAAAACAACACAAAACAGGTGTGTGTTTGTGGGGGTGCGGGGGGAGAGAAGGAGAGAATGTAGTCTAATAAGTCTTAAGTTTGTCCTTTTAAGACTTTAAGGCATTCCTGTTACTTTGAAACACTCAAAAATATTAGAAAATTTTGAACTGCACGTTTGCCCTGCTTAAGTTTCATTCTGGTGAGGGATTTGAGCATCATAGCTGGAAGGTATTTCTTTCTCCACTAAAATTATAGAAGATAAATTATATGTGTTTATTGAACACTTATGGTAAACATCTTTGCCATTATATATATTTTGTGTTTCAAAATACTTTTTAAGACCTGGAGAGTAAATGACAATTGCATTTCTCTTTGTGCCCCTTTTTATGCTTAGCAGATCATTTTGCATACATTGGCAAGCAACTAATATGTGTTCATGATGCTAAAATAATAGTATGAACACTTATTTTGCTCCTAATTTCTAAGATTTGTTGCTTATAGAATAAAATGCAACTTTTTTTCTGAATCCTATCAAACTTAACTCAGTTTTATCTGCACCATTTTAGCATATATCATTCAAAATCAGTAATAGACACTATTACAATAGTAGATACTCTGGGAACTGTTCAAAGTTATGGAAGAGTGTGTGGGGGGAGGTTTGGTTGTGGGAGTGGTGTGCTGTGAGAGGCCCCATTAAAATGTAAATGAAAACTTTGTTGTAGGCCCCCTCAGCCATCACTCACCTTTTGGGCAAATATCAGTGCAAGGTTTGCACATCTTAATCCCATTTTCCTCCACTTCCATCTTGGAACTAGGGCAGGCACGCACACAAGAACTGGAATCGACCACAAAGTTATCTGATAAAAAAGGTAAAATTAGCAATAATGTTGATGTTCTGCAAACAAGTTTACGAGGAGCTATTTTAGGGTGTGAAAAGAATTAGCATTTTTTGATCATATAAATGTCTATTTCCCTAAAACACCTGTTTAAATATCTCAACCTGAAATAGCATCCAGGACCACCCACATTCGAATCCGAGGCCCGCATGTATTAGCAACACCTAGTACTTGCTTGACTGAGCTCCACAGCCCGAAATGCCCCTAAAATAGAGCAAATTTCCTTTATAGACTTAGGAAACTACATGACATTTAGTTTGTGTTTTTCAACAGTTCCACTTCATTTCAGGTCATGATGCAAGTCTGAAGTCGAAAATACTTCAAGTCACAGGAAGCGCAAACAAAGCTGAAGTTAAAGTGCCTCGGATCAAGAGAGTGCACTTCACATCCAGGAAGAAACGTTTAAAATGTGTTCGATCTCTCGGTGGAGGGCCACAGAAACTGTCCCGTAGCTGGATAGGATGAAACAAACTGAAATCTACAAGGGCACGACTTAAGAAAGGTATACAAAATAAACCAAGAAGATCTAACGGCCTGAAACATGGGTAAACTGTTTAGGGGTCCAGGGATATGGAAAGCAATGCTGTACAGTGAAAATAATGAGTTTGGAAGTCAATGAGACTGCACTCTAACCTCAAACATACCGCTTCTTTTCTGAGACTTTGGACCGATCACTTGAATTTAAATTTCTTTATCTTTGAAATGGTAGCAATAGTCCCCATGCCCAAGCAATTCATGATATGACAAATTTTAAGTTACAATAAATTTACATGACATTATTTTGTTTTTAAATAATGATGTAGTTGATTTGGCTATTCTTATCCTCTACTTACGAGGGCATTTCTTGACACAAAATGCTCCGTATGTGTACTTTGCATTGAAGTTATGCTCCAGTTGAAAGGTGGTTGGATTGTAGACAAAAGTTTGGGGACACTGAGTCACACAAGCTCCACTGTCATTGAAATTCATGCAGGCCTGCAACATAGCAAGTATTAACTTTATTTAAAAATAATCTTAATGATACTTATTAAAGGAACAGTTTTTAGAGACGTTTGTCTACTTTACTAAGTATATATCGGTTTCATGAAAACTGTAAATTTTGATAATTTCATAGTCATTAGTGCTCAATTTTAAGTTCAAATTTGCTTAGGACTTCTACAGTTCTACAAAACTGTTTTTCCAATGTCAGTAAATATAGTTTATCTATAGTTTATTGATGTTCAAATTGTTTAGCATCTATCCACTAATTTGTAAATTTACATTTACTTTAAATTATTAAAATTAGCTAATAGTGAAAAATTATTAAGCTCACACTGATTCAAAGGGTTTATATTGAGTCTTAGAGTCTAGCACTAATAACTAAATCCCCAGTTCTACAGGTGATTTAGTTATTAGTGCTAGACTCTTTTTTAAAAATATTTTTATTGATTTCAGAGAGGAAGAGTGAGATAGAAACATCAATGATGAGAGAGAATCATTAACTGGCTGCCTCCTGCATTTCCCCGACTGGGGATCGAGCCCGCAACCCAGGCATGTGCTCTTGGCCTGGGACCCTCAGACCACAGTCTGACTCTCTACTCACTGAGCCAAACCAGTTATGTTCAGCTTAGACTATTCTTAAAGCTAGTGTTTGGAGAGTTCAGTGCCTTAAGTGATATTCATTTTCACTGTGTAGTGAGAAAACATGTGATAGCTAATTACACTGAACTCAAAGGAAGGCTCTCACCGGTGACTGGTCGAAGAGTAAATGGAGGGGTATTTAATGCCAAATTAAATAATATGATTCTATTTCCTGCATGATCTTTTTCACAATGCCACACAACTTGGTACAAGCTACCAATTCAAGTAAAACAATTAATTTCCACTGGCATATATTTATATTAAAGTATCAATTTGTTAAATTGTTCAAATGCCTTTAAGAATAATTAAAAATAAATTTACTACCCGAAAGTGAGGTATTTATTATAAAAATGGAATATAATGACATAAAAACATGTGATTAACAAAGAGTGGATGAACTAAATCTCTTAATTAAAATGTATTAAACCTTCTTAGGAATAATTTAGGCCTTGCAAAGCAGGCTAATGTGAACTCAAATAGTATTTTACAGTCATCATAAATTGTATGTATGATTATTAATAAGCACTAATTTATTCTGTTTCCTCAAAACATTTTCTTCATCAATTGTTGTTTTAGCAAGCACTTTATCATCAACATGACAATTCCCTGATGATGGTCTACTAGATGCATAATCAGAACAAGAATCACTGATGATACGTTATTCACTAAGCTGACACTTTCCAGGAAGAATCTATTAAAAACCAATCTAGAAAACTCAGTAAGTTTTAATTTATGGCTATAAAACTTCATGTTTCCTCATAATTGCTTTACTAACATACTTTATGAGATGTTGTGCACAGATTGCTTAGCAACAAAGGAGAACATAAGCCAGAGGAACCCGACAAACACAACAAAATCGCTTACACCCAGGCCTTGGTCTGGCATTCCTGAGCATTCTGTAGGCAATGCCAAAGTGGAATCATGGGACCATTCCATAAAATAATGCAATAAAAATCCCGAAGCTGTCTTGGCACTCTGCTTCTCATGGCAATGGGACCATGAGCAAAACAGAGTGAAAGCTATGCCCATTGGTGTTTTGTTGTTACTGTTTTGGAATTGTGAACCCAAAGCTTGTTTAGCATCCTCCAGATCCCGTTTCGAGCCCATGTCTGGAGACAAGCAAATGAAAAGGGTCTCAAGCCAAGACCTGCTGAGGAGCTGCTCTAAATTTTTAACATTTTAATATTCTCTTCTTCCTCCTGACTCACTACTACAATACATACTCTTGTTCACTGTAGAATCATGGTAGACAAGTTAAATTTTTTTGTAACATTAAAAAAAATTCACAAGTGACCATATCATAAGAGCTGTAGTTTCTACCAGGTATTTTTGCTTATTTTTTAGAGTTAAGTGCCAATTTGGAAAAAAAAATTACTCAATTCTAAATATGTGTGTGTGTGTGTGTGTGTGTGTGTGTGTTCTCTGAATATTTGAGAAGGGGTAACAAGAAAATAAATTCCTGTGTTTATTTTTAACAACAAAAACAATTTATGAGTTAGCTTAAAGTGCTCTGTGTGTGTATGAAATTGCATTAACTATAGCTCACAGAATTGCTTGTCTGTATTCAAAAGAACAGAAAGAACTATATCAGAGCTATCAAAATATAATTAAAAGTGTCCCCAACAAGTAGTAAATGTTAATTTTAAGAATGTAAAAGTATCCTCTTCTAAAATAAAAATCACACAGATTAGCATGCAAATTGCTTCAAGTGTGTATTTGTAAATCTCATAAATTTTGAATAATATCCATTTGTAAACAACATAAACTAAAAATGCTTAAATTTGTAAACGTATCTTAAATTCATATTTAAAAAATAAAATCCAAGTGCCCCCACTAAGAAACTCAATGATACAACAACATAAAGAGGTAATCACTGTAAATTTTAGAAAGATCCTATTAGTTTTTAAAAGATGTTTCAATATGCTCTCATTCAATTCTCTAATAAATCTCACTGGTAATATAAATTGCAACAGAAAGACATAACAAACAATCCTAGTTCATCAATTGCCACCTAGTGAATGCATGGCTTAACGGAAGGTAGAGAATCTTCCTTAATCCTAAAGTGGTTAAATTAGATCTTTTTCAATAAGGTGTTAAGGATTCAATGTGCCTGAGTCAAACCCAGAAGGGAGGGAAGAAGAGCACCCAGACTTACAAAGCAGTCGGTGTCCTTAGGCCCTGAGCAGCCTCCAGCGCACTCTCGATGACAGCAGTCACTGACATAGGGTCCGTAGCACCTGCCATCACATTGTTCTGCACACACCGTCCTTGTCACTGCAGAAGACAGATATGAAGCCTGGTCAAATCAGCCACCAAGAGAAGCTTCTAAGGTGACTTGGAGTGAGTAGCTGGGAAAAGCTGGCCTCTAGAATGTCAGTTGACCCACCATTGACTCAAGTCAGCAAATGCATGCTGAATGGTCTGCAACAGATCAAAATTACTGTACAAAAATCTTCAAACACATAGATTAATTTATAGATTCTTTCTCGTGCAAATACTATTGTGCTTTACTAAAATCATACAATTTAACAGGAGAGAATTGAGTTCAAAATAACTGAATGAGGCACTCTAGTAGGTTAGGAAAGATGGAATCAATTCACACTGGGCATAGTTAGGTCCTATAGCAGGTGTCCCCAGAAATAACCCTAAGGTTTTTATTGGTCAGTGCAAAAAGAAAAATATAAATCTTTACATGATTCACATTATATCTTACATGATTCATATCAGATAGACAGATGGACATATAGATGAAATGAGAGAGGGAGAGAGAGTGGGGGAGAGAGACCAGACAGGAAGAGAGAGGGGGGAGAGGGAGGGAGGGAGGAAGGGGGAGAGAGAGAGAGAGAGAGAGAGAGAGAGAGAGAGAGAGAGAGAGAACTAAGTAGTAGTAGCACAACTCTTTCTATTCCTGAGATATCAGTGAAATGTCTACTGAGAATCTTCAAAAAGTGGAACCCATGTAAGGAACAGAGAGCAACTTTCTTGAAGGAAAGGAAGGAGGGGAAGAAGGAAGAAGGGAAAAAAGAAAAATGGGAGTGAGGGAGTATGGGAGGAAGAAGACACATTCACACTAAATACAACAAAAACTTCCACTGGTCTTTTCTTATAACACCCTTTAATACAAGCTGGCAGAATCCTATAGGTACACTTTAGTAGAATCAACGCTATAGACTGGGCTTCAACATTATGGTATTGAGTAAAATAATTCTGCTTATCTCACTTAGTAAAGAGATATTTTAAAGTATTTTGGAGAACTAAATTTTATAGGCTATGTATAGCATGTCACTTCTTGGTTTCTGTATTTCCACTTCAGCCTTGTGTCTTCCTACCTCTTTGACTAGTTATTCAAAGCTTCCTTCACTGCTTCAATAGCAAAGCACAACTTCTTAAACATTAGTATTCCTCAGAATTGGTCATGGTTGATCTTGGCAATTTTCTTGGGCTATGGGCTCATGCCTGAATGAAATCATTCATCTTTTACTTTGCATTCTACCTATAGGGAGATTACTTTCAGATTCAGATCTGAATTCTCTATTGAGCTACAGCATGCATCTCTCTCTTTTATTTCTCTTCCTCTCTTCATCTCTCCCCTCTGTCCTCTCCTTCTTTCTAGCATTTTTGTTATAGCATCAATCATCATCTAATATATTTTATAACTCATTTGTTTTCTAGTGTATTCTAATGTCTATTTGGCATTCATGTACTTTTTATTTATATTTCACATACATTACACACATACATTACTTCTACATTATATATGAAAGATACCCAAATAAATCATATTCACTTCATATTCACACATTATACATACATTAATGTTTCTACATTTTATCCAAGTGGTATGTTTATTTAGATACCCTAATTTATAAACCATGCCATATAAAAAACACTTATATTTCATATTATATTTAAATAACAGATTTAAATATAATTCCTCTTTCTTATTTAAAAAAAAGACTTTTTTGATGTACCAAGAGCTGCTAATTAAAACAGCAGATAAATGTTAAGTAACCAAATTACTAGATTTAAAATAAGTGTTATCACAGGATAGTCTGTTAATTTGATTTTAGTGGAAAGGAATTGCTCAGTTGAAAAATAACATGAAGTGAGTCAGCAATCATATCCCATATTTTAATCCAACTCATGTACATTGAAGTGTTAACCTTTATTTTCAACTCTATAGTGATTAAAGGTAACTTTACAAAATGTCTTTCTCTTTATTTATATACTTTGCTTGATCTCTCCCACAAAATGAGGAAATCAGTGTAGATAATATTTATAAAGATAATTAACCATAAACTTATTTTAAATTATTTATTAAATGTTTATATTAAGATCATTATATTGAATACAATAATCTACACTAATAAAAGAGAAACATGGTAATTGGCGTACGACCGCTACCCTTCCCATTGGCTAATCAGCACATCCTTATGCAAATTAACTGTCAGCCAAGATGGCGGCTGGCAGCCATGCACAGAAGCGAGCAGGGAGGCTTGCTTGCTCCAGTGACTGCGGACTCCAACGTTCCCCGCCTGCCGCTGCCGGCCTCTCAGCTGCAACTCTAAGCAACTATGTACTATGTTGCAAATAAGAAGCTAAACAAAACCCCAGAAACCGGCTTTCATTCAGCCGGGCTTCAGCCAGCCGGACCGCAACATTGTATCGATGTTTTCAGCAGCGAGGCCTCAGAGCTAAAGCTGGCCCAGAATAAAAAAAAAAAAAAAAAAGAAAAAAAGGAGTGGTTGGGAGCTTCAGTCACCCGCTTCTGGAAAACAGCCCTCAGCCCCTCACCCAGACTGGCCAGGCACCTCAGTGGGGACCCCCACCCTGATCCAGGACACACTTCAGGGAAAACCAGCCAGCCCCTACCCATGCACCAGGCCTCTATTCTATATAGTAAAAGGGTAATATGCCTCCCGGCACCGGGATCAGCGTGACAGGGGGCAACGCCCCAACCCCCTGATCAGCCCTGCTCTGTGCCTGATAGGGGGGGAGCTCCCCAATCCCCTGATCGCCCTGCGGCTCTCTGTGTGACAGGGGGCGGGGCCACAACCTCTCTCTCCGCCCTGCTCTGTTCGTGATAGGGGAAGGCGCCCCAACCCCCTGATCAGCCCTGCTCTGTGCCTGATAGGGGGAGCTCCCAATCCCCTGCAGCTCTGTGTTTGACAGGGTGCA